GCGGGTCTCCCTGCAATCGCCACGCGGGGAGGCGTAACCAGCCTCCTATGACCAGCCTGAGCCTCCTATTTCTATGTGTGGTGCACATCTGCACCTGCCTTGGTGCACACAACAGCATTTATGCCACAAAGCTGGACCCAATTCGAGAGAACCCTGCCCCGAACCCTGGCAGGACAGCCTGAGTGACAGACACCTGCTCCCTCCCCAAGCCCCACAACACTCTGGTTTCTGCCCGTCCCAAAGGAGCGTTTGCCCCAAGTCACTGGCACCTCCTGGCTGAAAGCAAACCCAGCACCTGCAGCCAGTCCTATGGCACCGTCACCAGCGATTTACTGGCCCAGAGAAGGGAAGGACCGCCCCCCCGGCCATCCCCCTCCCTCCCTCCCTCCCTCCTTGCCCCACCCCCCTGTCTAAGCCAGGGAGAGAGAAAGTTCTTTCTGCCCTGGCTCGTCCTTCCCTCCCCCAGAGCTCACACTGATAAGAGGTTTGGGGCCGGCTCCTCTTCAAGGGCAGGTGGAGGAGGGGAGCAGCCAACAGAGTCTTTTTCCTCCATCATGGCTTGTCTGGTGTCCGGAGCTTCCTGTGCTAGGCAGGAGATGCCTCCCCACCCCCCCTTCTTCTGGACACACCAGAGTCTCTCACTTGGCTCTGCCCCTTGTCTGGCCTCGGGCTGCTCCCGGTGTCACAACAAACCCTCGTCCAGCCCCTGAGAAACACCAAACTCCTGGCACAGCCAGTCCAAAGGGGTCAGCACCCACAGCCACCCCCACCCCCAGCATTTCCCAGAGTCCAGCGGCTGCCCCCCTCTCGGCCAGTCCAATGCCCGTTTTAACCGCATGGACACCCCAGGGAGCCACCTGGCTGCTGGCCTGGCCCCTGCACAGCCCATGAGGAAGCCCCTGAGTTGGCATGTTCAGCTCTTAGCATTGGGGCAGCTGGGGGGGGGGGGATGTGTCTGGGCAGCGCAGCAAGCAGGGCTGGCCACTGACCATGCTCCCTGGGGAGGCACCCCCAACCCCTCCTCTTCTGCCCTCCCCTCGCACCCAGTTCCCCCAGAGCCTGGCTGGAGCGACTGCCCCACTGCCAGCCTTGCTGCTCGACATGGTGCAGTCATGGGGCCAAGGGCAGGGAAGCTGCTCGGGTGTGGGGAGCAGATGGGAGTTGGATGGGGGCCTGGAGTACAGGGGCAGGAGGGGTTTGGGCCAGGACATGTCGGGCTTTAGCAGGGGAGCCACAGGTTTCCCCAGGCTCCCTGACCTGCTCCCTCTGCCCCCCATTTCTGTTTCCAGCATGGCCCTTGGATCAAAAAGTTTGTCAAGCCCTGATCTAGCACCATGCTCATCCCCTTCTGATACCCAGTGCACCCCTCTCCCCGCCGCAGCATCCTGCCTCACACCACTCCCTCCCTCCCTCCCCATCCCACCTCCTCACCTCCTCATTCTGTCACTCCATGTCTCACCTCGTGCCCACCCCCTCACTGCTAAGATGCACGGGACAGACACAGGACTCTGCCTCCATGCAGCCAGCCCCACCCCACAGGCTTTGGCAGAA